AACTGTTGTTTCACCTTTGGCCTACATGGAGTTTATAGCTCTTAGATGAGAACAGAGATACTCCCAGATAAAGCGGAGAGATAAAGGCCAGAAAGGAACATTCAGTCTTCCATTCTTCAGCAGTTTTATTTCAGCAAGTAACCGCTGTAAATGCTCAGTAATTTGCATTTTGGCTAAAGCAGCTACTCTGGAAAGACATCCAACTCTGCTCAGAAACACCTGGAGATGAACTACCTATGACTTCCCATAGGAATTAGCTCCCGTGGTTAACCGCAGTCAATTTCAGAAGAAATGATGCCTTGTTTACTAGTTTTCTATCAGTGTGGCTTCACCTTCCAGTCCTTGCAGACATTGCTGATGCAGGATGCTATGCAGTGCTGCTGTCTCTGGGCCGTGCCACTTCAAGTCCCAAGCAAATCTATGGTAGATGCAGCTCAGACCTGCTGTGGACCATGTGCTGCTGGTCCTGATGGCCTTTCAAAGGGACTGTCACGTTGTAGCCCATGACTCAAGGCTTTTTTGTTCGTAAAGATGTTGTCTAAGAGGTGTGGAGTGCTTATCTCATGTTCAGTGTAGATAGTGATTTGTGGTTCAACTGCACCTTCTCTGGGTCCTGAAGAAAGGGTATAAAGCTGTCCTTGTGTCGGCAGCATTTCCTCTGCTGAGCTGGACTTTTGTGTTGGCGGGTGGAAGGGCAACCCCAGTGTTGTCCCATGTCTGTCAATAGAAGCACCAAAGGACGCTGGAAGAAGTTATTTAAATAACATTTTTAGGAAGACCCTGGCTGTTCTGAACACCTTGGTACTGGGCTGCAGTGTTGTAGGTTGCCCCGGGTCTTGGCCAACCACATGCTTCATCTTCTCCTTGGCTGATCCTACGCCTTTGTAATGTGATACTGAAGATATCTCCTGTTTAGTGAGAACAGAGCTGGATAACATGAGCCAGCAGATCCTGTCCTCTAAGGACAAAGTGTTTTGTCTGACCTAGAGACAGACAACTGTAGGATGTACAAGCAAGGAGCCCTTTGCTCCTGGATGGGGTGCAGCCTTGCAATAACGCAAGCGTGGCGAGCCCCTGCCAGCTAGCCGTGGTACAGGAGCCTCTGAGCTGGAAGAGAAGGAGAGGAAGCGGTTTATGGGGGAGGAAGGAAGAGCCTTTCAGCAAGTGCTTGGAGCTGGCCAACTCAAGCACTTTCAATCCTTCTCCCAGCTGCAGTGCTCGGAGCCGTGATCGTTAGCAGCTGGCAGGAGCTGGAACGTCTGGACGATGCTGTAGGTGAAAAGGGGGAGTCCACAACACCCTTGAGTCATAAGACTGGCTGGGTCCTCCAAGAAAATAATTTCCTGTTTAACTCCTTCGTGGCTGCACTGAAGTTGGGCTCAGAGCTCTCTTGCCAAAAATTCAGCTCTGCTAAGAGTTGGGAGTGCAAATACCTCTCCCTGCTCACACACAAAGGCATACACGTGAAAGTGTAGGGTTGTTAACTGGGACCAGGCATGAAAATGCCCAGTTCTTGTGCTCCTGGAGTGTCCTAGCTTAGTGCAAGAAGGCGAAGAGTAATTAGGCAGCCCTTGAGCATTTTAATGTGGCAGATCTGAAGTTCAGCCTGGTAAGCATGAAATGCTGCAAATTAGAGAGTAATGAATTTTAACACTGCCCCAAGAACATTCCCTCCACCCCTTCCTTTTAATTATTTTGCAAGTTTGTGTTTTGGTTTTTTTTTTTTTTTTTAAATGATCCTGAACAGTGTGCCTTCTCATTCTGCTTGGCACTTACTTTGCAACTCAAATCCATCTCCACCCTCTCATGTGAGAGCAGCCCCGCAGTGAGGACAGATGGCTGTCGAGGTGACAGTCACCGTGAGGTGGGATAGCAGGGCAAGGAGTTGGCCCTTTTCCCCCAGGCAAATTTGGGTGTCAAAAAGGCTGGAGCTGCTTGGCCGAGAGGACCGCGGTCCTGTTCTCATAGGGATGGACGTTGCCCCGGGTGGCTCGTGGGAGTCGGTGTTGCAAGGGTCATTGGAAAACACAGCTCCAAGCTGTTGTTGCAGAGCTGCCTGGGGAGGAGCAGTAATTTTATGAATGAGCAGCCAAGTGCCAGCCCTCGGCCACGGGACAGGCTGCGGAGCAGCGTCCAGCATCTCCCGTGTCAAACCCGTAACTCCTGCCTTGACTTGAGCGTGGCTTTTAGAAAGACACCAGACCTCCCTCCCCTCCTCTCCAAGCTCTTTTCCTAAATCTTGCTGGTTCTTTCTGCACAACTTCCCATGGAAATGTCCTTCCCCATCTGTCAGCCCAGCTCATGCCCCAGTCCAAGCAATTCATCTTGTATCTCAGTGAACAGCAGCATCCTTCTCTCTCAGCCTGTTGTATTCGTGCAGAAGGCAGCTGCCAGCCATCCCTTCCCAGCACTGCTGCTTTGCCTGTGTCCCTCTGTGGCAGTGAGTGCTGTCACTGTGAAAGTCCTGCCTGATTGTCACTCAAAAGGAGTTCGTTCACTGCCAAGATGTCCCCACAACCTCCCTAGGGACATCTCCCCTGCCCTTCACCCCCTTCCTCTGCTGGAGGTCCGGAGGCTAGCTCATTCTGTCTCTCTTAGCTCTCTTAGTGGATGCATGTTTTGACTACTCGGTGTATTCCCTGACTGCTCGGTGAGGCCGTCTGCTTTCCTACAACAAGTAAATCTGGTGTATTATTCAGGTTTTGATATTGGGCCATTTATTTTTAAGGGTTTCTTGAGGGCAGGTGATGCACTTGGGCCTCTTTGTAGCATCTGAGAACTGGTCCTGACGCCATGGAGAAAATCCCCTGAGCATCTCTATAAGCCCGTTATACCACAGCACCTCAGAGCATTGCTGAGCTGCCTTCAGAGGCTTCTGTGTGAATTAATACTCTTGTAACTGGCCCTATGCAGGCAAGGTCCTAGCCTTGGTTTCCAAGTAGAGCAAGTCATGCAGCGCAGTGAAGGCAGACCTGCTCTCCCTGAGTTTGCCCTGCAAGCTAAGATGTTAGAAATTCAGAATCCTGGAGGATTATCGCTAAATGCTCACGATGTTTTTCCTCCACATCGCGGACATGGGAGTAGAGAGACGTCAGGGTAGGTGGGTTGTTGGTTGTCCAGTGCCAATGGTCTCCTCATGGGAGATGCATCTACCTGTTGCCCCATTCCATCCTATGCAGTCCACCCAAGGTGGTGCCTCTCTTGCAGTTCAGATCGTGTTTAATTAAAGGCCTAATTTCCCCTTTGCATGGTTATTTGCCGTCACTGCATCTCAAGGCACAGGGCTGGGACATGTTAGGTGGTTTGGAGAATGGTGGCTGGCTGGCACAAAGCTCCCCACAGGCTGCTTTAGCAACTGATCCTCAGCAGCAGAGAACTGTGGAGCAGCCAACAAGGGGGTTATTTTGGGTTCACTTAAGCTCTGAGTGATAAGCACTTGTGCTGCTAATCAGGCTGATAAATACTGTCGATTAAAACTTCTGCTTTGCACTTCTGCTTTGCTCTTCTGCTTTGCAAAAGTGAAGTATTTTCATCTCTCCCAGATGAGAGGAGGCTGGCTGGGTGGGTGATGCTCTGAAAGGATTGCTCTGATCAGCACGGGCTTTGGTTTAGCTCTCAAACACCTACTTTCCTCCAACTAATCCTAGCAATTCATTAACAAGGGATGTGGCACTGCCCCTAAATTGATGCCTAACTGTAAGTGATTCTGTAATTCCTGGGATTTTGGATGTTTATAGATTAGCTGCTTCCAGGTAGCCTTTATTGCAACTTCCTTGTCCCACTTCATGTGATGATACCACAATAAGGATATGGTTTCTGTATGACTCACAGGGAGCAATGAGTTAAGTCAGCTTGCTGGATGCATCTGCCTGCTGGATGGGGCACCCTTAATTTTACCATGGATGGTGTTGAAGACCACAGATGAGATTACATGGCACACAAAACCCCATTTCTTTAGGAAACCAGACGAGATGTTTCCAGACTAGGGTCACTAATGGTCAACATTTGGAAAAGGACATCCCATTTTGGGGAGAGAGAAGGATTGTACGTGGCTGTTATAAATAAATACAGAGAAACTTTAGGAAAGGAGCTTTGGAAGAAGGTCTGTGATTTAGTAAGGGGGAAACAACAGAGAGCACCCCATTCCCTCATGCCTGCTGTGGGACTAAGGTGACTTGACCTGTGCGGTGGAGGGATGAGGACCTGACCGAAGTGGTTGGTACCCAGTGACCAAATGACAGGGGTGATGGAGAGGTGCTGCTCTCTCTCTGGGGGCATTTGGGCAACAGTTTCCTGTTCATGTCTCTGCCCTGGAAGCTAGATGCTTGTCAAGACAGAATAATTAATCCAGAAATCCGTGGAACTCTGCCAGGAGGCCTTTTTTAATTAAAAACAGATCTGATAAAGTCTACTGAGAAACTGGCGTCTCTGATGAAATCATGCAATGTCTGTCTGTAATTCGGGGCTGTGTGGTGGGGGTGGTCTGGGTAGGGCTCAGCCCCCATAAAACCTGCACACACCCATTTCGCAGGGGATGTCTTCTCTTCCTTTCCCTCCGAAGGCTGTGTTTTTCTGAAACGAGTTACAAATTCACTAAAAGACAGGACACCAGGTATTGTCTCCTACTGTTCCTGTTTGTTGGTGTTTGGCTAGCTCTGGGGGAAATGGGAATCCCATGTCCAGGGGATCTGCGAGATATGCTTGAGCTTTGAGGAATCATCTATCTTTCCTCATCTGGATGCAGGATTTTCCCTGCCTGTTTAAACTGGTGATGGAGCATGCGGATACCTCCTGAGGTGAGCCAGAGGTTATTCATGGGCCTGTAAATGCGGGGTCTAATGACATAGGACATCCAGATCTGGATCCAGGCAGAGACAGAGGGTGGGTGCTTGTTTCCAGCCACAACATTTTGGTCCTGCCACCCAGATGCTGCAGAGGAGGATTGGGTGTCCCTGGCCAGACCCTGCCCCATTTCACTCCCGCTCTGCCTGTCCTCCCAGGCCCAGTGGGGAAGGATGTTTTCCTCGGTGAAGCCATACGAGAACCAGCGCTACGCCTCCCTGAAGAAGGAGTGTCAGAGGCGGAAGCAGCTCTTTGAGGACCCACTTTTCCCTGCCAACGACGACTCACTCTTCTACAAGTCAAGGATCCAGGGCATCCAGTGGAAGCGGCCAAAAGTAAGTGCGCTTGTCCCCTTGCACCTCGACACTGCTTTACACCATCTCTGCCCTCAGGCAACCCTGAAAATGCACAGTGAATCCACCACCAAAGGGTGCCAAGCCCCAGCCAACATCTCCTCTCCCCAGGCTCAGCATCATGAGCCTCTGGGGTGCCAGGGGGGGCCTGCTGCACCCAGGTCCAGGTTGTTCTGCCCCCAGTGAGGCCCAAGAGCAAAGGAGGCTTCTCTGTGACTCAGTTTCCCCATGCATAAAACAGAGAGATGGTTTGGAGGCCAGGTTGGTGTTGACTATTCTTGTTAAGCCTGGTGGGTCCAGAAGGGCAGAGTGTTATATCTGAATACTCTTGGTGGTCCATTTGGAAAGGGAAAAGAAGATAAGCTTTGGGTAGGTGAGGTGGTTTTGGGGTCTTTGGGAGGTAGATGGTCTAACCCGTCCTTCCTCTCCTATGCAAAACCAGTGTCTGCTGTACGTCCTCTGCAAAAAGCACTCTGTGTGTCCTCCCTGTTGCTGTGTCTGGCATGGAGGCAGGTTGTGGGAGGCTGGGGGTAATGGTGCCTGTCCCCCTTCTGCTGTCCTCAGTGCCTGCCCAACAGTTGCACATCAGGACCTGAGGGCACTATGTCTTGAGGAATTTGTATGCCTTGGGGTGACCATCTGCTTGGGGTTGCCCATGAAGCCAATTCTCTGAGTCACATTAAATACAAGGCATCCCAGGGAGCAACAATAATTGCAGTTGGGGAGAGACAATATCACAGCACCTAACACACCTGGGTTTCCTTCCTTGCCTGTGGGGAGAAGCAGCCCTCCCTGCCCAGCCCGTGCTGTTTTCACACGCAGGTTGGTGACATTTCAGCATGGCAGGGTCGCCTGAGCTGTCATTTGTCCTCTTTGTCCCCGCCAGCAGCCCAGAAAATCAGCTGGCCTTTTGCAAGACAGTGCTGCATCTGTCTGGGTGAGGGCAGTCCGGGGGGGTGGACAACAAGGCTTTGTGTGAAGGGAGGGATGGAGCTGAACTGACTCTTGTGTGGCAGGAGGGACTGAACCCTCCAGCATTCCACTGGGCTCCTTGTTGGAGGTCTCGCTTCCCTCTACTTTGTCTTGGGTTCTTCCATACCAGCTCTGTCTAGGCACAGGGTTTGTGCAGAGCTCTGTGTGTGTTTTAGTTTATTCCCCTTGTTCACTGGAGTGGAAAGATGCTCTGTGCACAGCTGCCTTCTGAAGACAGGGCCCACCACGGTTTGGTCTTGTTGTGGGGGACAACATGAACACACATTGCATATTCCATTTATATATCAGATAGGCAATCCCTGAGACTTTCTAAACATCTTTCTCTGGGACTGAAGGGTAGGGATGTATTTGACACCCCCTTGCTGGATTACATTCAGAGACACGCATTAATTCAGCCACATGTGTAATGACAGAGGGTTGGATCCAGTTGTAGAGGAGCAATGTTTGCTCATCTTCTGCTGGGCACACCTCAGAGCTTTTTTCCATCTGCTTTTCTGGCTTTCAACTCACTTGCAGCCCTTGGTGTTCAGGCATGTAGCATCCACTCTTGCTTAGAAGAACTTGAGGTCAGCCAGCTAGGTATCATTCTCTTGCTGCTTTGCTCCAGAAAGCATGAGGTCTTTCTAAAAATGCTTTTTGGACCTTCTGGTCTTCACCTGCAGGGTGGCATGCCTATCTAGTCCAAGCCCATCCTCGCTGAAGCATGGAGTGAATTCAAGCTCCTTCCAACCAGCCAGCTCTGCAGTTTCATATAGTCATAGAATAGTTTGGGTTGCAAGGGACCTCTAAAGTGTAGGAATTAGCAGAGGATGGTTAAAGAGGGGCTCCTTCTGGCATGAGCCAGCAGTGGGAATGGATGCTGGAAGTGGGTCCCACATGCAAGCAAGGTTCTGTGTGCTTAACTAGATGTGGAGATGGTCCCTCTTTCACTTCTTCTGAGCTAGATGAGGGGAACTTTGCCAGCAATTTCGGCACCAGTAGGAGTCCATGCTGAGCAACAGCAGGCTCCTTGATGCCACTGTCTGGTAGGATCATTTGATCAGACCTGTCTAGCTTCCTTGACAACAAAATCACCACAAAAAAGAAATTTGAGCTCACATCTGCCCTGGTTACTGCTGGCGTTTCCAGAATCCTCTTTCTCTGCAGGACTTCTCCAGGTTCTTTCTTTCAGTTGTTCATTTTGGCAAAAATGACTGAATTTCACAAGGACAAGAACTGCTTTGTGCCAGCCAGCCAATGCAAAGTGACATTTTTAGTTGCTGGACCCAATTCTGCCTGAATTCATACCAGGTCTCTAAGTAACAGAGCCCAGAAAAAGGTCTAAGCATCTTCTGCGAGAAAGCAAATGCATCTGGGTGTTAGGGATCTTGATATCTATCTCACCACTTTACTGTCTGCAACATAGCTGGGAAACACCATCGGCTTCTCCAATTCAGTGCAGTATTCAGCTGGGTCCAAAATGTCTACAAAGTTCAAATCAGCTGCTCTGCTTATGTGGTAATTGCACTGTGCATTCAGCCACACTAAGACCCTACAGCATCCTCTTTCTACTACAACCAAGAAATCTTTCCTTAGGCAATCACATTTTATTCTTGTTTAGAAAAAACAAAGAGAGTGATACTCCCAGCTTTTAGCACATGGTGTTTTGGGGTCTTCCTGACCCAGAAATGGAGTCTGCCAGTCCTGGGGATGCTGTCTGCAGGGAGGGGATGGTGTGTACACATCTCCGTTATCTCTCAGGGCCATGGCCATGGTTTGTTTTGTAGAGTTTCAGCTGAAACTGCATGATAAAACCCAAGAGCTCATCACGCCTCAAGCCCTGCTGTGAGAGCAGAGTGGGTGGGGAGTGGAAATAAAAGGCATCAGCTATTAAAAACAACTGTTTTCTGTCTCAGAAAGGCTGCCTTTTGTGATCTATGCAGAGAAGTGATATGAAGGAGCTAACTTTTTCAGACATGTGAGAATTAGCTGTAGTGAACTCACTGGGGTAGTGGGAATGAGTTTTGGCAGTGGCAAAAATCATTCTCATATATTTACATGGCATTAGTACAAATTTAAACAGCCCACTTCTCGTGTGTGCATCTCTTCCTTCCCAGCCAGGACCTGCTTCATCCTTTCTGCTCCTCCACGTGCTCCCAAAGCCTGAGGTTGCTTTGGGGAAAAAAAAAAAAAAAAAAAAAAAAAAAAAAGCAATCTCTGCAGTACTCACCTCTTGCTTGCTTGAGGTTTTTCTGAGCAGGGGGGAAAAGACAGACCTGAAGGGCTTTGCTGGAACAGCTCATGAATAACCCTTCCCAGGTCAGGCTATTTTGCTTCTACTTCCTCCTGCATCTGGCGTTGCAGCGTTTCCTGGAACGGGCTCAGCCTTATTCTTTTCAGAGGGGTGTCCTCCCTCCCTCCCTTCCTCCTTGCTTTCCCCTGGCCTCGAGCCCTGCTCTGGATGCCAGATCTTTGCAGAGGGAGCCGCTGTTTGAGCCCTCTGATCAGGCTTTGCCTTCGGCTGTTGTTTGCCGGACGTCTTGGTGATGCAGCACGGCAAAGCCAGAAAGCGAATTGCTCGAGCGTATCAAAGGGAAGCCATAGCATCAGCCTGAGCTGGGAAGAGGGTCCTGAAGATCTTTGTTTTAGTGCATCCACTTTAAAATGAGACTGGGTGCTCATTGCTGAGCCAAAGCAGACTTTGGAGCTGGTTAGGGGAGCATCAGCAGCTCTTTCTGGCAGCAACACTTGGCTGTTGCGTTAGAAATTAAACCTAGTGTTTTGGCCTAAGCCCAAATCCTAGTTCCTTGCTTGAAACTTCTTCCTTCCTTGCATTCTGCCTGCTGCTGTATGAAGGCGAGGGAGATCTCTGTATTCAGGCAAGTAGTACCAGACATAGAGAAAATCTTAGCCTGATCCTCAAGCTCTGGGTTTTGCCCTCCCCGTTTGAGACAGGAACTCTGGCAGGGCAACAGGGGAGCAGGAGTTTTAGTCTGTGCATTGGTGAGCTGGTCTGGGCGTTTGGGAGCTAAACAAATGGGGAAGGGTGGTACTGAGAAGGGGAGGGGATGGATGAGATGCAGGCTGAGAGGCAGAAATAAGGGGGGGATCTGTGACACTCGGCTGTGTCTGTTGATCCCCTGGGAAAAAAAACAGTGATGGCCCAGGCTGGAAGAGGCTCATCTACCCTGTGGGAAAACAGTTAATTTCTTCTAATTATCACTGTCCCAAACTCTCTTCTTGGTTACAGGCCACTTCCAGTGATGCCATGGGATTGGTACAGGGTTAAATTAGGGTCGTTAGTACTCCTGGGTCTTAGCAAGGGCTTGCTTTCTCTGTGGCAAGGAGGGCCACATGGTTCAGGGTCAGTCCACCAAGCGATGACCTGCTGCTGAGGCTGGTCACTAGCCAGGACAAATCTGGGCATCACTGTGTTCCTGTGGGAAGCAAATGAAGCCTGGTGGAAGGCTTACGCTGTGCACAGATGTGACGTTGAACCAGGTGAACCCCATGCTCTGGTCCTTCTGCAATTCCCAGGGAACAAGGTTAAACCTGGAGAAGGTTTTTTCCTCCCTGTCTGGAGAGGCAGACCAGGCCGCTGTGTGCTGGGTGTTCCTCTGTCCACAGGCAGTGTCCGGCAGGACCTTGCAGAAGCACCTCATGGCCTCCCATCAGATGCAGAGTGGTTGGGGCAGGAGATCCCAAAAATGCTTGAGGGGGACACGCTGAGCTGCACTGAAGTTGGTGTAACGAGAGAGGCTGTGACAAAGCACGAGGGTTTCCAAGCAGGCTGTTGTCACAGTGACTGGGTGGCTCAAGGTGACGTGTGGGGATGGTTGAACCTGAGCTGCACCTCTGCACTGTGAGTTCAAGCCTGGCTGGTTGCAACCACCAGAGAAAACTCTCTTGGGTGAAGTCTACACCCTCCAGTCTCCAGGGGAAGAGTTTTGCCCTCCAACCCTGCTTCTCAGTATTTTTATATCTCTCCAGCGTTTGCTTGCAAGCGCCGA